ATAAGAAATGGTGAATAAGAAATATAAAAATAAAATAGCATGTACGAGAGTCAGAAAAAGAGTGATCGAGAAACGGAGAGACAGAGAGAGAGAGAGAAGTTAATAGTGCAGGAAAAAGAGGGAAATGAGAAGAGGAGAATTAACGTTTAGTGACTAAGCGAAATATCGGACATGGATAGACAAATACGTACAACACACTGTACGAAACATGGTTGTTCGGAGGTAAATATTTATAACACACACGAGGAACTGGTTTGAATGCCACTTAAAACTGATTGAAAGACTTTAAGGGGATTCAAAACCAATCGTGATTTTACATGCTTGAAATACGAGCAAATGGCAATAATATGATAATGATACGATATAATACGATAATAACATAATATCGTGTGTATAGGAAATCCACAAAATAATTATTGGCGCCAGATATTGAAACATGTATAGTAGTAAAAATCGTATAACACGATCGATTACTAATATATAGACGGAGATAACGGAGAAAAAGAGAAAGAACTCGTCTCCATACCCCTGTGAATTCTTAGAAATGGGGTGCTCGCAATATCGAGGGTGTCGTGTGTGTGTATTTGAAACGTTCTCGAACCCTGAGACTGATCCGTGGATAAAGTTCTACTGAATAAAAAATGAACATAAAAAACTTAGAGCTCCAGAAACCGGCATTTTTAATATCTATTTGATATTTCTTTTTTTTTATAACAAATTATGCTTTTATAATTGCGGGTTTTTTTATATTTGATACAACCTACAATTAAGTAGTTAACAAATAAATTCTAACGATTTTTAAGTCGTTTTTTGATTTTATGGTAATATAAATAAACCAAGAAATATTTTAATTTAATGATTTTACAAGATCACCGTTTAACAATCTTCAGGTCTGAATTAATGGCGAATCTAATTTATGAATAGCCTATTCAGAATAGGTGCTTTCAGAATATCTGATCTTATTTTTTTTTTTTTTTACGAATTTTTTGACAAATTGTAAGTTATTAAAAAGCAATATTCTGTTTACATTTTGAATTTCAATTACTGCTGTAATTTAATAAGACTGAAAAATTTACATTCAAAGAAACATTTTACTTAGGTGTATTGCACGTATCAATGTTATATCAAATAGATTTTCTCTTGATTTTCTTAAATATGATACAAAGTAAAAAGATAACAATTACGATAATTAACTATATTTTAACTATTTAGATTTTATACTATGTTTATCTTATTACTTAAGATTATTTTCATAAAAATTAAAATGTATTCATCCAAGTTAATTTTATTATTTTGATATATACATTACTTGATGACTATTTTATGTATATAAATTATTACATTGAAAAATTAAAATAAAAATAGAAATTAATTTTTATTAAATATTGCTTTTAAAATACGTTATATTTTACCGATAACATTTTGACTTTGTATATATCTTAGATGACATAAAATATTAATGTAATCTACATAAAATTACTTTCCAAAGACTCTAATATGATCACATTGTTCGTGACCTCACGTTTGTACTCGTATATTAGAGACGTATGTCAAGGATGGAAGAAATTGCAAGAAAATTGTATTATGTATACCCAGAGTATACCTACATATTAGAATACACGTATTTTGAGACTTTGGCTATGTTATCCATTCCAGTCACGGTTCACACAATGGTTTACGGCGGTTTTAATTTCGACTTATACCATTATATTGTTAGGCATTAAAGATATCTGGGCAATATTTTTGCAGTCGGCGGAAAATCTAACGGGTTTTCTAGTAGGAAAAAAGTGTATATATATATACAATGAAAGTTAATGCTTTTTATTGCATCCACCGACGACGTAATGCTTTATGGCAGTGTCCATAAATCATATATGAGGAACCCCAAATACAGACCATGGTAATCCTATGTAAATACCTGTCATTGACAATACATATTGCTACTATTAATATTTTGATAACATTGCATAGTCATAGTGCAATATCTACAACCTCTCTTCTACCATAATCAAGTTCGAATTTCCATAACGTTCATTTTAATATTACTGATGACATAAAGATTGATATTAAATCATCGCTGAATTTCTGAATGGAAAGGTAAGTGTAGGAGCTAAGAGATAATTTGAAAATATTACTTCTACCGGTCATATTGAAAATTTACATATAGCATTTAATATGCAACTACGAAAACACAATATCAATGTCCAGATACAATTTCACACTACGTTACTTATAATCGAGTTTATAATATTGAACATGAGTTTGTCTTGAAAAAATGATGTAACACAATCAACCATTTTATATTAGGAACTTATATTACACGTCAATATAACGATGTAGATTTTTATATTCTAGTATTTGACAGTCTATTTAATGAAAGATTAACGAATAATAAGAAACACACAAAATAAATTCTAAAAAAATAAAAAGTAAAATAAAAAAGTAAAATCTTTTAGTTTATTCACTTATTAAAAACGCGTATTTTTAAGATTACTTACATAGTTATATACTTTAACTTTTCTCCGAAATTTAAAAAAAATTGTAGTAAATAATAAAGTTAGTTTGTTTAATTCTTGTTCCATTGTAAACTATTCTTTATATATTTTATACATTGTTTATTTATTACTTTTTTTTCCGAGAATATAAATATCTTTATTCTTAAATGTATGAAACATATTTATAGATATTTAAAAGTTATTTAATGCAACTATATAAACCCATGTATAAATATAAATAAAATACTTTCTTTTTTTTTTTTATATAAGGTAAAATAATTTGTTAAATTCATCATTTTTGTTAGTGAGAACTCGATGTTCTTCTTAATATTATTTATTATCTAGTAACAATTTCCAAACATCAAATAGTATTAAATCAATAAAGAAACTATTTTAAACTATTTTGATTTTTCCAGCGAAAGAATAACTATTTAAAAAATATCGAGAGATATACACTCGTATAGTTCAATGAATAAGTTTCAATCGAGGTTTCAATCCATTTAACAACAATTAAATATAATTCATAAATATATTAATTTATATTAAAACTTTTTATTGCGTTCACCATTAAACTTATTTTCCTTATAGAACGGGGAAGTAATAGAAATCAAACATTTCCTAAACAGTTAAAATGTTTTAAAAAAATAACTTTTTGAATAACACTTTAACAATATTTAAACATATTTTTAGTGGCCATAACATACTATTTTATGACATTATTTCCATTTTTCAGATTAGATTTTTAATAATAAGTAGGTGCCTAATTTTTGTATGAAAATTAAAAACCCCATTAAAAACTATTATAATATTAAGTACAAATAATAATTTTAACTTAGGTACTTACATAATTTTAATACATATGAATAGAGAATAGTCTTTATTTTTTGCTTTTTTTTTAGAATTATTTCAACTATAAAAATAATAATTAGGTACTCAATTACCTATCTCAATAAATGCATAGTTTAGATAATTCAGAATACGTATATTCGATACTTAAATGGTTTTACATTTATAAAGAAAATTTAATTTTTCTATTTTTATTAATGAAAAAATAATAGTTACCTACTTAATATTAAATTCACAATTACAGTTCTTTAATGTGGACAAAATCAAGGTAAAATGTATTTACCTAGAGTTTTCTCGTTTAAAAATACTGGGAAGATTCCAAATATTTTAATATTTTAATTCCATGGTCAACCACTATCACGAGATTAATTACAAAGACCGGAATATAGGTATAACATTTTCAACGAGGGTAACACGATCGGTGGCATGTGATTGACAGGCTACGTGCCAGGTCCCTTGTTACCAATACTTTAGCAACTTCAAGGGTTTTACGTGAAGACGAAGGAATCGCCGGTTTCTAGTTTATTTATTTGTACGCCGGAATCACTGAAACAGAGGTTTCATCACGTAACGAGGTCTATTTTTCTCGCGATACCTATAAGGCCCCTTACTTAGTTTTTTTGTAAATGCAAAAATAAATACAACATGTTCAACATCTTAAAATTCTAAACCTATTTATACGTCCGTGTTAGACTAAAATAGAAGGTTTTCTTTTTAGATATTTATCATGTGAATGGAAAATAACATTTTTTGTTATCATCCTTGATTTTACGTAGCCTATATTTTCAGTATAATGAAATTAACAATCAATGCAATACAATATACAACGAAGATATTAAATCGATATCCGTTTGATACATTTTTTAAATCAACGAATCACTCATAAAATAATCTCGAGAAGACAAAAAGGTTAGGTCAATATGCATATTAAGGTTTCTAACGCGAAAAAAAAAATTCTTTATAACAAGGACATGGTGTCCGTTAGGTTAGACATCTATGGCAGACGTGCGACACAAAATCATTCCGTAAAACGAATAATGAACTGAAAAACCGTAGACAATTGTACAGAGAAAACAAAGTGTGACATCTTGGTGCAAACGAACGCCCATCACAAGAAACCAATAATTAGCAGTACCTAGGTTCTAATTTCTAATCATATTTCAGACTTTGGTTGTCGAATCGCCATAGAACAGCGGGTGGCGGTATTATAACATTATCGGTATGTGCCAGGCTCAACGTTGAGTTAAGAACGAGCGACGGGCCGGCGAAACGGTTTCGAGCAAAAAATTGGTTTCGCCGACAAAGGCATTCCAAGAGAACGCGTCGCACCTTTGGGCCGTCCACCGCTCAGGGGATAATAAGTCGTACGGTTCGCTATTCGACGGGGGGTCCGATTCGCGGTGACCGCGGACTCCCGGTAAGTGAGAATCCCGGGGGAAATCCCATGACCATAATAAACGTTCAAACGAAATGTCGGGCACGTTCGCAACGGCCGCGTCCACGCGTGCACCAGCAGACCCAGATACAATTTCACGGCGGAGCAGCAACGTGTTTTTGCAATACCGATTTTTTTTTTTTTCGGTGCCTGGCAACGTTTAGATCGAACGACCCGGAATTGTGTCGTCGGCTGTTGCCCCGTCAAAACATGTACACACGCACCTTTTTAGTGGACGAATTTTCCCGCGTTTCCGCGTCCGCTTGGCGTGCACCGTCTCTGCGTGATGGCCGTGTTCTCGTCGTTAATCCTAATGAGCGACCAACGGTGAGAACGAACGAACGAAACGAACCGCGTTTACTCGAAATCGCACGTACGCGGTATTTTACAATTACGAATACGTTGATTTGTGCGAAACCAAAACTGATAGGCGAACAGAACGAACGGATCGCAACGAGGAAGTGTTGTTCATGTGTAAAACGTCGCACACGAAACGCGGACACGAGCGCGATTGATGATCGATGAAAAAATGTAAAACGAAAAAAAATCGAAAAAAAAAAAAAAAACGGTTCCCGACGAACGAACGGACTCGCGGCTGCGACGCGAAACAATCGAACTACGACGGGACGTGCAACGACGCGGAGCACACGGACGAAACTGTTCGGTCGGTCGTGCTCGACACCGGTGTGCGCGCAGCAGTCGGGCCAACAGAACACTCGCCGCCGCCACCACCGCCGTAATAGCGTCGACCAACGACGTGTGTGCACCCCGCGTCGCGTCGTCGAGCGATCCCTTCGGGACGGGAGGGTGACAGCCGGACATTCGATACCTCAGAATAATAATATATTATAAATACTACGACGACGAGGACGCGTAAATCGTCGGAGAAACGTAAACCGTGATCCGTGGAGTGAAATGAGAAGAGAAAAAATATATAAACACATAGAAAAAAATAAATAAATAGTAATACCGCTTTGTGTGATCGTGACAACAACACCGTTCAACAACGTGCACAACGCAATAAATCCGATTTACCATTATAATATTATTGGTGTAGAGCCCGGTTCGGATAAAAGGAAATGTTCCCGCGAACAAGTGTTTCCAACAGCGTTGACTGTAAAAACCGTAAAACGTTCTTCGGGTTAGAAACCGTTTCCAAACCCAATTCTGTACGTACCCACGGCAAAGATCCAGTCGTTTGATCCACGTTACATCGTTTTAATAATTAAATATTTATTATCTAATATTTCCATTCGACGAAATGCCACAATTAACCACTTTTTGCCTTTACCGCGGTTTTTGCCCGCCCGTGCGCGTTGGTCGTTTTCCGTTAAGATATGTGATTTCCAAGCGTTTCAAAACATTTTCATTCATTTTATTTTCGAGTAACAATTATGATAACATTCTTAATGTGTCTAAACTCTCGGTCTAAACATGAATGAGATATAAAAGGTATTAGTAAAAATAAAAATACCGGACTATAGCGAAATAGTCTATTATTAGTCGCACATTAGTTATATCATTGATTTTATTACGGTTGTATTTATGCTTGAAATGTTCTTTTTCGGTAATCAATTTCCGACGCCGCAGATGTAATGAAAGATTTGTGTCGACGTACAACGAGTACGTCATTATAAAATATTATAATAATACAGTAAACATTATTTCACAACAATTATTAATGTTTGTATTCCGAATAGTTCGTACACATGCGTTCGACGGTTTTGTTCGAAAATTAATATGTTCAGCGTACTACGAACTATGACATAGGATGCTGTTTGAAGTTTTTGATGGATTTCAATTCTAGTTTACACCAGTTAGTCCTGCCCCATCCAATTTTATTTATCAACTTATAAATAACATTTCAGATGTACGAAACTAACGAAACACTTAGTTACTTAAAAGTTATTATTGGTCTCTTTCAAATGACTAATGTAATCATACTAGGACCATCATTCAGTTTTTTATTAATATACCGTTTTTATACTATTATACTGTGTTAAAATTAAAAAATCTTTAAGGTTGTTGCACACGTGATCGGAACAAAATTGTTTGTCGACTATATTTTCACGGATTTTGAAGCGTTATTGTATTTACATGTATTAACTGGCCCAACTCAAATATTTAATCACACATGGCAAATTTAAATTTTGCTGCCTCTTATATGTAAATGGTACATCTAATTTTTTTTTTTTTTTACATAAGCAATAGTAGAATATACTTAATTCTGAGTGCATCATATTTATTTATGTTAAGTTAACAATTGATTAGATCAATACATTATTAGGCAAGTAAACCACTATTAATTTAAATAAAACAAAACATTTTATAGTCTTATTTTTTACTATAGATAATTTGATATGAGTAGATATTAGAAATTGTAATCTATTTTTTAAAAATTATCTGTAGTATAAAAATGTTAAATGCCGTCAATTTTTTACAAAATAGTTTTATATGGAGTTCAAAAATACTCAAATATCTATGATATAGATCAAAAATATTACTATGATTCAATAATGAAAGACAATGCTTGGGTAGGAATAACGAACAACTCTAAATATCATATTCTACTAAGAATGTCAACGTCAAAATCATATTTTTTTCATCACTATGTAAGTGTTTCGTTCATAATAAATGTCTATGTTTACAAACAAATGTATAAAATAAAATATGAATGTAGGTTAATTAAATTTTCTAAATTATAAGTTCTTTCAAAAATTAGTAATTAGTATTAAACAGGTATTCTTCACCCAGAATATAAACAGTTTTATTACTAATATGTATAGTCATATGTTTTTTTTTTTTTTAATTCATTGATGCATCAGTCCCTTGATTGCATTAAAAAAAATGAACATTAACCAGGATCTATACCAGTATCTGAACTATCAGTAAGTTCATCTGAACTAGTTGGTATATTTTCACTACCATGTTCAAAATCTGAGCCATTCAAAGCGGCTAAATTTTATCTGAATTTATGGTGAAGACGTTTAGACGTTTTGATTTGAAAAAATGATAAATTATTTATTTTTTTTGGTAGCATAATTAATAGGCGACGATAATATTATTATTACACACAACGACAGGTATCACACGCATACGATACAGATAAATAAATATTAGAAAAATTAAAAAAAACAAATGTTCAAGGAGCATAACAATCTATAACTTGAATTATTAAAAAAAATAAAAATACCGAAGGCCTTTGATTGTCTCGATTTTGCCTGTACACAATTAGTTCATGTACCATGAGAAAATCCGGATTCTCCCAGGCAATCGTTAACAGATGATCAGTTAGCGTTCCAAATAAATCATTTTTCATTTCATTATTTCGTCTCGTCAATAATTAATAAGTTATCGATTTGATAGGCGGATATAAATATTAGAAATTTGGTATGGCATGCAAATGCGTGACTGGTGGGAGAACCTGAGCACCCTCACGACAATCAATGGGTTAATATCGAAGGCGGCTAGAGAAAAATAGGCAAAACGTTTATGGCCGTGGGTCGTGTTGTTACGATTTGTTCCATCACGATGTGCTGACAAAGTTCGTTTCGGTTCCATCGCGTTCCGATGGTGGGGATTCGATTCCTTTCCATTCCGATTCAGTGCACGGCCAATCTCTACCATCCCAATTTACTAATCGGTCAAAGAAAAAGAGTCATCTTAAATATAAAAACTGTTAAAAAAAAATAAAAATAAAAACTTTTTAATAGTAATTTTAATTTCCCAATCGTAACATTGTAATACTTTCGTTTGCGATCTTCGACAACAGTGCTGTAAAAATTGTAATAAAAATATTTAATTCTCATAATATCATTAATTTAATGCTTTTCTAACTATTAACGACTTTTATGAACACTTAACAAAAAATTAACAAAAACTTTTGATGCAATATAAATCTCAATACATAAAAATCTTGTATAGAATAATAATGAAATAATCTCTTCGTTTGGTTTCTGTAAAAGCATTTAAAACGACAAGATTTTAAAAACAATATTTATTTATTTTTACTTTATAGTTCAGAGTTGAGATGTACGTTTATTGTAATAGTATTTTGATGATTTTTCTGTTTATACCGGAAATTAATGGCATTTTACCCTTTGTCTATAAGCACCGAAACAATTTCTTTTTTTATTATCTGATTAGTTACATATATTTAGTAAATCCATTTTTTTTGTTTTTTGGTTTGTTAGAACTTTCAAAAAAAAAACCATTAAACTCAACAATTAAGTTACACAGTTTATAATTTTATCACACTTCAAACACATCAAACACGTTATACCAGTTGTTGGTATTTATTTTAAAAGCAATAAAATGTATAATATCCAGTTTCGATGAAATAAACAATTTTTTACACACAATTAAATACTCGTAGTTAACTTATCAATAGAGTATAAATATTTTCATTTGATTATAAAACATTAATTATTGGTGTCTATAGTCCAGTAAACTTGTTTATAAATCCTAATTAACCTACAGTATAATTTTTTATAACTTAATCAATTTACTACATTGTTATCTTTTCTAAAAAATTAAAAATAAAATGATTTATAAATAATTTAGACAATTTCAAGCTAATTTTTTACAAAAATACATATTTACATAACTATTAAATAATAATGTAGTATCATGGTATCATTATTTATTTCTACTAATGTTATTACATACGGATAATAAAACTATATTGGAGTAAATATTTTTATGTACTACAAAGAAGTTTTATCCATTTTTTCTTATTACAAACATATGCAATAAAATATATATTATATGTAAATAAAGTATTAATACCGATTTATTTTATGTTAAACATTTTTATACCTACTTAAATAGTTAATATCGCTATATATTATTGTAAGAAAACGCGATTATGACAGATTTTATTATGGAAAAAAAAAAGTTTTGGAATTAATTATTACTGTTTTACGGTACATACGTTTACGACCAATGTCATTATAATCAATTTAACAATAACATTGTCGTAAAACTTAATCAACAATGTTATATTTGAACAAGAATAAAAATGAATGTGTACTGCGTATACTGTACTAATATTTTAATATTTTTATATGGCTGAAGAACCATGTGAAAATGCATTGAAATCGAACCGGGTTATAGATATCACACTAATATTATTCATAAGCTGTGTAGCCTGTTGTACTACCTATGTCGCTCTCGCTACGATACGTCTCTGAAAGTTTATACACTCGGTCAACTATAAAACTGGAATCATTTTGTACTACACCAAACAGTGCACATCCTATTCGATTCACATGGTTAGAAATAATTTCTTCTGTTTGAATAGTAACATCGTGATACAGCTCGTCAACCAATTGAAAATGAATCGTTCATAAAAGTAGGTGTAATATTTTATTATTTCTATTATCGCACGCAGAGTAAAAAAGTCTTTCATAAAAAAAAAAAAATGATGACTTACCGTGAAAGCTTGTGACCGTAAAAATTGCCGACCGCCATGCCAGAGGTAAATATTTACTTACGACCCGACGCGTAGTAGTGTTGCATCGTGATGCAGTGACTTCTTTCGTTTACTCCTCGAAAACGCATCGTTTTTTATGCACACTATGTGCTTGCCATTGAAGTAGTTTTGTCGTGTAAATAAACTAGGCGTTTTAGAAAAAGAAAAAAAGGGAAGGTAAATTACCGACAAACTGCACCTGGA